TTTAATTTCAACTTTGATTTATGACTTCGCTCACTTTAGTAAACGACCTCGTAAACGCCGAACTTCTTCAACGAACTTGTAATTTCTTTCTTAAAATATATCGAGTATTTTCGAAAATCTCGAAGAGATAATAAAAATCTTGTTAAGTTCTTCCCTCGATTTCCCTTCGTTCACTTTCTCGTCAGTGACACTTATTAAGGGGAAGAATGAAACTACCTGACAGGCAGCTGGTTCGGCAACATTGATAACTAACCGACACGTGCTTTGACATTTCCTGATTCGGCTGTCTGCGTTTCACTTGTCTTCAGTTTCGTTTCATAGTCAGCGATCCTGAGCCCACACACGATCCTACGTTTTTGAACATCCGATTAACCTATGTGCTAATTTGTAACACCTTTAGGGTGTCGTTCCTTCTGCCTTATTCTTGCTGGAATATTTGCTGGATATTTTATCTTGAAATTGTCTTGCAAATAATATTTATTAATGATTTATCACAGGTCACATTTGACGATCACATGTGATATAGTGTTGATATGTGCTCATCGAATTCGATGTGACAATAGATTTAATGATTGAGATTGAATGGTCTAAATTATCCTTCAAGTGTCACATCGTTAGGTTTAGCCATAGGAGTAATAGTCTCCTCTTTCGTATCATACAGCATTCACATAAACTCTTTTGTACGTCTTCATAACTGAAAGCTATCTTCATAATTAAAACCGTAACTAAAACAGTTAGATATTCTCTCTTGCCTACACATTTCTTCACATTGATGGAAAAGTTTCTCGATTAGTAGAAAATCTCCAGTATTCTGAAACTTCCTACTGCAAGTATCGATAGTAGCTTAATCTGTGGGTCCTCGGTTTCAGACATAGACCTTTCATATCGGCTTGAAGATGTAACCAAGCGTTGTCGAAGAGTTTGCCCCCGTAGTCTTATCGCTAGTGACAATGTCGTACAAGAAAATATCGAGAGATAAAGAACATGTGAAGATAGGCTAGGTGTCTTCCTCTATTTGTGTTATTCTCCATTTCTATCGTCGTTGTCCTGAAGTTTATCTCGTGGCAAACTGTTGCGCCCTCAAGCATCGGGGGCATCTTGTGGACCTGATGCAATGTTTCACATGTGATACGTCAGAATAAGTATCGATGTTTTATATTCTGATAATTTTTTTTCATTGGGTGGTGCAAGTAAATAGTGTAAAAATTTAGGGAAATTGGTATACAGTTCGTAGGTATGGATTGAAGTTAATATTTAGGGAATTAATTAGTAAATAGTCCACAGGTAGAAGTACAATGTCCAGCATGTGGAAATTAGCAACAGATATTGGGTTACTGAATTTATTTTTAAATGTTTTAATTAAGTGATCCGAATAAAATGCACAGAGCGTGTAATACAGTATTATTGTTTGAAGAATGATTTTACGAGGAAAATCTTGATATTCCAGAAAATATGTGGTTAAACTCATCAAAATGATATGTAAACGTGACAATAGTACATTGAAACAATCTACTACAGTTTGTAATATTAATTGATGTATATACGATATTAAGCTTTATCCCAATAATTTTGATTTTATACATACAGGGTATCTCACAAGTAGTTTAGGTCTCTGAAATGGATGGTAGCTGACGTGATTCTGAACAAAATTTTCCTTTGCAAAAATGAGATTTGAAGCTTCGTTTTTGAATTATAAAGGAAAATCACGGACCAATCAGAGCACGAGGATTACAAGTGCGCAGACGCCAGAGCGCCAGCTTCGGATAATGCGTAATTATGCAACGCGCGGTAATCCAACGCGTAGCAATGCAACGTGTGGTAATGCAATGCGTGGTAATCCTACGCGTAGTAATCCAACGCGTAGTAATACAACGTGTAGTAATCCAGCGTGTGGATATCCAACGCGTAGTAATCCAGCGCGTGCATATTTAACGCGTAGTAATACAACGCCTAATAATGCAACGCGTGGTAATTCTAAGCGTACGAATCTAATGCGTGGTAATCCAACGCGTAGTAATGCAACGCGTGGTAATGCAATGCGTGGTAATTCTAAGCGTAGGAATCTAATGCGTAGTAATCTAACGCGTAGTAATCTAGCGTGTGGATATCTAACGCGTAGTAATCCAGCTCGTGGATATTCAATGGGTAGTAGTCGTACGCGTAGTAATTTAATGCGAGTAGTCCAACGCGTAGTAATGCAACGCGTAGTAATGCAACGCGTAGTAATACAACGCGTAGTAATCCAGCGTGTGGATATCCAACGCGTAGT